ATATATATATATATATATATATATATAGGAAGTGAACTAGTTCTGAAAAAGACTAAAACAACAAAATCTCTGTGTTCATATCTTTTGTAGATCATAAAAAGACAGATTAAGTGGAAATAGATTCAGTATTGAATGCTATAGAAGAATATGGAAGAAAATTTTGCCTCCCCTTCTCCCTACTTAATTAGAACATGGACTGAAGTGAAAATTTATACAAGTATGGATTCCCCTACTTGTTTTTTTAAGTCAGTGGGAACATTAGGAATCTCCATGATTGCTCTAATGCCAGTGCAGTGTTTATCTCACAGTATCTTAGAGTGTCTTGTGGTGCACAAGAGTGTCTTGTGATTGTCACTGACTGAATCAAATAAAATAAAGGGAAACTTACTGGATAAGCTTGTCCATCCCTTGCTGTCTGAGAGGATAATTTCCCTAAGCACAGTACCATTATCGGAGAGAAACCCTAGTCCACTGAAATCATTCTAAATTTTGTCACTGCCTCAATTGGAGCCAAGATTTCACTCTCTTTTCCCACTTGCCTTTAAATGCAGTATATGTATCTATTTTTGGCATCTATATAATGCCTATCACTGTGGTACTTAAATGAAATCTCCATGTTTTTTAAATTACTTAAGTTAGAAAGTCTATTCTGCAACCTGAAATCCCACTGTTAAAAGATTGTGTTTTCTGATACCCAGACTAATTTTTCCAATGCTTAGTTTTACTTTTATAACCCACTTTTATCTTGTTTGATTAACCTAAACAATTCCTTTCCTTTCTTTGCTGAGATCTTCAAGTTTTGATGGATGAGGGATCATTCAACCCTGTTCTCAGTGAAGCCAGTGACAGTTTCAACATTTACTTAAGTGGAAGAAAGAAAGAAGACACTTCATTGTTTAGCTTTATTAATCCTTTCTCAAGTCATTCCATGCCTCATCCTGAATGATTTATCTGTTGTGAAATGCTAAACATAAATAAATTACTCTTAAAAGCAATCCTAAACTATATAATTAATGCCATGACAATTAAGCTAAAATAGAAAAAAGAAAATTAACAAATGGAGAGATTAGGCAAAGACAAAATATCTCACTAAATGTTTTTGCTTCCTCAAAGAGATTCAGAATCCTGGAACAAGGAAACTAGGGCATAAAAGTACACAAAACTGAATGTACCCAAGATTACAGATGACGTTGCTTCTTGGCATGAAAGACCAAAGATTCTGCAGCAGCAACACGCTGTGCAAGTAATACAAATTCTATTTCACTGCAGGCCAGAATGTGCTCACTCCCATATAAAATCAGCTGTTAGGCTGTCAGACATTTTACTGGCTGCAGCCAAAGACTGACAGTCCTCTGTGTGTGCCAGACTAAGATATATTAGACAAAATAAGCCTGGGTCAATTCTGTGTTCATTTGAAATGCAAAGATAAATCCAGGTCAGATACTACAGATAGAGTTTGAAATGAAGTATTGTATTTGCACATTTGTATTGTTCTACAATCTTTGGTGCACAGTACTTAGTTCCCCAGTGAAGGAACAGCTAACTCTACTGAAGATATAGGACAGATTCTCTTCTGTTCTGCTTGGTTTCAGAGGCAATGCGAGAACGCTAGTTATAGTTCTCTGATCTTGACACTGCTGGTCTAGAGACCAGCTCCATCAGGTTAATACCAAACGTGTGTTTCCCATGTGAAATCAGTTCCTTACTGGGCATTTAAGGCTAGAATCTGGTACTTGTGTTCTGGATTCCAACTAAAACTCTGGCCCAGCAGTCAACAATGGCTCTTCTTCAAGGGATAGGGAGCAGAAACATTCCCTGGCTCATGGTTCTTTCAAGATCTCAGACTCCTGGATGTGAAAGGGGAGCCCTACCTTTCCTAAAGCCTTCTTTCTCCCTAAGTCTCCTCTGCCTGCAGCTACTTATCAAAATACAAATATTTTTACCAATAACACCACCATACAACTCTTTATGGCAAGTGGGGAGGATAAGCTAAGGTTAAACTTGTTAAGCGGGGACCAAGTAACAATGTGTATTTTTACTCTTAAAGCCTAAGGCAGCAAGATGATGAGTTATTCAAACTTTTACAATTAAAAAAAAATCTGACTTTATAATTTGGGGGTATATATTTAGCTAACTTCATTCCTTTTTTCTACAAAAGGAAAGGGGCTTCAGACTAATGTGGACTAATTTTCAAAGGTGTAGAACAGGGGTGTCAAGCTCACCCCAGGCCCTGGGACACTGCTGGCCTGCAGAGGCTTCTACCAAGCTGGATCCACAGGGCCTCCAGGGCCAGAGCTGGGTAGCAGGTAAGAGCTGTGTTTGAGCAGCAGCGTGTCTGGGTGTGTGTGGCAGCACAGGTCCAGGAGTGTACAGTGATGTAGAGTCTCATATGTACAGCAGTGCAGAGCTGCATTTGGGTGGCAGCATGGGTCTTGAGTGCTGCTGCCAATGGCTATGTCCATCAGGGTCCAGGAACCTTGAATTCTGTGGCAGGCCCATGCCCCCAACTTCCAGTGGCCCACCAGACTATCAGTGATCCAGATGTAACAGTTCTGCAAGGCTGTCCGCTTGACACCCCGGTGTAGAACATGTGAAACTTTCACTGAGTTCAGTGAAATTGGATGTTGCTTACCATCTTAGAAAACTGAGCCATAGTTTGGCCAAGGGTTCTTGACTTACTAGTTTTATACTCAGGCATTCTTTAGACATATATCATTAACAAGTACTCATAGGTTATTTTTTTTACCTGTGAGAGAAAGGGTCTAGCAGAACCAA